GGTCAGCCCCTGTTCCGGGTGAGCCCCCGTTCCCTGTCAGCCTCTGTTCCGGGTGAGCCCCCGTTCCCTGTCAGCCCCTGTTCCGGGTCAGCCCCTGTTCCGGGTCAGCCCCTGTTCCGGGTCAGCCCCTGATCCCGGTCAGCCCCTGTTCCCCACAGTTTCTTGCTTCTAGCTGATCTTCAGTTAGGTGGTTCTTCTCGGGACGTTTTTGGTTGTTACTGTGGTCTCTTTGCCTTAAAACAAGACTGAATAAAATCTTTCGATAGCTGAGTTATCCAGGTTAAGAAAGTCCTTTTCTCTCCCCAGTTGTCCCTCTCGTCACTCTTGTGTGCAGGTCACAATCAGTGTCAGTACAGAGCTGGCCTCGCTGGCCATCTGCTTGGTTTCATGACAGCTGCCTGAAGGGGAGACTGGCTTTGGCCTCAGTTGTCACGGCCTGACCGGGTGCTGTGCAGATGGGGTCCTGGTGGCTCAGGGTTAAAGCCATCGACTGCTGACCCAAAGATGGCGGTTTGAAACCACCAGCAGCTCTGTGGGAGAAAGACATGGCAGTCTACTTCCCTAGAGATTGACAGCCTCGGGAACCCTGTGGGTCGCTGTTTGACTCGGAATCGACCCCACGGCAGTGGGTTTTGTTACGGTGCGTACATGGGAGTCCCTGAGGGTGCAGATGGTTGGCACACTCGGCTGCTGACCAAAAGGTTGGAGGTTTGGGTCTACCCAGCGTGGCCTCGGAAGACAGGCCTTTGAAAAATCAGCTCCTGAAAACCCTGTGGAGCAGGTCTCCTCTGACACACGTGGTCGCCATGAGTCGGAGTTTGATTTGGTTTCCTCTACCGTCTTATAAATACAGAGCAAATAATACTTTTCAAGTGAGAATATTACACATTTCAGTGAAGTTCAATAAAATGTGCTACGTAGGTCAAGGTTTTAGAGGTTGGGAACTCATAGAGTGACGTTGACTGTGTGCAGAATCAGTACGGAGACTATATCCAAGTAAGCATTTTACAACGTTTTCGCTTAATTCTAGCTCTTTAGATTAAATGGGAATGATGCCTGGAGTATTGTTTGTTTCGTTAATTCCCACTTGAAACGTTTGGGAGTGCAGCTTGTAGAGAACACTGAACTGGGGAGGGTACATCAGGGAACGAGGTCTGTGATCCTCGGCAAGTGTCTGTCACCTCCTGAGGGTGATGTGTGAAGCGGTTTGCCCAGTGTAAAGGTGTGTTTAAGTTGTAGCGCTGTATTTTTACAGTCACTTAAGACACTGCTTGCATTCTGACACTGACTCTTTCCTTTCTCTTGAACATCCAAGCTTGACGACCTCACACAGGACCTCACCGTCTCCCAGCTCAGCGATGTGGCGGATTATCTAGAAGATGTGGCCTAGACATGGAAGAAGGAAGTATTCTAACGTAAAAAGGACAAGGGACTCTGATCAGTTTCATTTTTTCAGACAATCACTCTTTGCTGGAATGTCTGCCCCCATTGGTGCCTTGTGTTTCAAAAAGACTGCAGATATTTTAAAAATTAACGTTTCACTGCTAAACAGAATACTTCCTGTTTGAGCCCATGTGTGGAAGACTTAATATTCTTAATTTGGTTTAGCTACACTTTTCGCTATGGAAGTTGATTATCTGTCGCTTCTCCAGTTCGTTACGGGAGCAAACCCATGAAAAACAGCAGTAGTTAGAGCGTACTAAAAGGTGCCGATAAAGTGGTAGGTTCACGGAACTCTGTGTGTGTGTGTCTGTGTGTCTGTGAGTCTGTGTGTGTATGTGGCCGATATTAGAAAATTAATTTGAAAACCGGGGCTTTAGCCTTGGAGAGTTGACGCTTACCCACTGTATTATATTTTGATACTAGGTGGTTCTACAGCTCGTTGGCAGAATAACCTGGTAAATTTGTGGTACTGAAGCATATTGATATAAGTTAGATTTGACATGTCAATTTTATTTTGTATTTCCATTTGGAAGGTTTGTTAGACCGTTGAGGTTATATTAAAGTGCTCTTTTGTATGCTACTTAATTTTGCTTGTTTTTAAGAAGTCTTGAAGTGGCTATGACTCTTAATTCATAAATTTGGTTAATAGAATTAAACTTTGCTGTTGATGTCCCTGTGCCCACGTAAGGAACTTTAATCATAGGTTCGCTTCATTTTATTATTTGCAAAGATGCCTCGAAACATATTAAATACAAAAATACATCTGAAAGCATTAAGCAGTGCTTTAATTTCAGATCTGTAAGTTGAGTATATTAAAATCCCGATTGGACTGGAGCAGCAGTAATGGCGTCAGACCATAGTGAGGCTGACAGCAGCTTTGGGTGCTGTGCATAGTGTCACGGCCGCGTCTCAGGAGTCTCGGTCCCGCTGCTGGACACTGTGCTGCTGCTGTGTAGCTCGCTGACACAGGCAATGCCGCAAGGCTGTAACACGGGCCAGTGAAGAACAGCAAGTGGAGTGATGCATGTGTTCTCAGATAAGGAGAAGTGAAGCTGTGATCGGGGCAGATTTATTCTTTTAAATTTCCAGTACATTATGGCTTTTTTATTGAAATTAGACCAGATGTATTGATCTCAGTAAGTAAGCTGACTCCGTGGTTTACCTAATACCGGTTTCTCATTTCTTAGCCTAAGTATTATAAAAATACTTGTTGGGCCCTAAAATGTAAAGAGCAATAAAAACGCAAGGATTAAGGCTGTCTGACATTAAATCTGATTGTTTTTTTAATTGAAGTGAGACAGCTGTCCACATCAAGAGGAAGTAGGACAGAAAATGGGCCCGGTAGCTTGAAAGCCTGCTTAGATCTGCCCTCACTTGGTGAAGCGTTCTCTCACAGTCCTTAGGGGTTTTCGTGTTTTATGTGAGTGCTCTGGGGAGTAAACAGTGTCCTGTGTGAGGCCGTCACGTTGCCGCCATCCCCCCGCTTGCTTGTTATAATACACGTTTTGTCGTACAGCATCGCTGTGAGCAATGCATGAAACCGAATACTTTCTCTAAAGGATTAGACTTCTGTTCTGCCCCCTGCAATCAGCGTCAAATGTGTGCTTTATTTTTAATATTATTTGATAGGAGTTAGATTTCAGCAAAATGATGTGAACATGCGGCAGGATGTGGCTTTCATTTTGTGGGAAACCTTTGAATAGTGTCATCAGAAATCTGCCATTTTTCTATTCCCCAGAGAATCTGACCTTTGAGTAATAATTGGGGGGTGGGGGAAAATTCCAAATGTGAAAATTTCTTTGTCATCAGCACTCCATACGTCGTATCGAGTAATGGTGAATAACTGAAAATTCAACTATGGAAAGGTTGCGTTTCCACCTGTATTCTTTGGTTAGATATTATTAACCTGTTAAATTTGAAGATGGGGAGTGACAGAAGATTTTGAGTGTGATTAGTGTTTTCTTTTTGTCAAAAAATGTCTATTGAAGTATTAACCCATGAAAAACATTTCTGTGGTAAAACCTGTATGAAACTGGAGTATTTCAAACTCTAGATCTTTCATTTTGTTAGTGATAACCGAAAATGAATAAAAAGCTTTTATTCCTCCTTGGTTTATATTTTCTCACGCCTCCTGTGTTCTGCAGTGTGTTCTCATAACCAGAAACCACTTGCGCAGACAGTGTCTTGGCTTCCGCTTCCTCTGCCCTTGTCTCTGACCCTGTGTCTCTGACCCCGTGTCTGTGACCCCTTCTCCCGCTTAGTGCTCAGAGGCTGGTGGGTTCCCCACTGCGTCGTGACCTGCTCAGGCCCTTCCCGTCTCAGGACACTGTGTGTGCCTCCCGTGCCTGGGGTCGCCCCCGCCCCTGGCCTCCAGCAGAAGGACCCCATCGTGTGTTACTTATCTCATCACTGTCTGAAGTGACCTTGCTGAGGTCATTATTTCCTTGTTTATTTTCCGTGTGCTCTTGCAGGCGCCTTTTCCTTTCTGACGCCTTTAACCGGGTACCGAGCGAAGCGTCTGGCCCGCCCTGCGTGCTTGTTGAACATCTCTGGGATTGGAACAGGCCCTCTAAGCACCAGGGTGGGCCTGGGGAATGTGTTCTGCAGCTGGGACTGCTGTCCTTGTCCTAGACCTCGGAGTCTGCAGTGTGGGCAGTGGAATGGGCTCCTGGTCAGTGAGCAACAGCCGAGCCCACCATCCGGGCTGGGTGGGTAACCGCTGTCCCTAGAGGGACCGGCCTTCTCTCTATGGCCTCAGTAAGTAAGCCGACTCCGTGGGATGCGGGCACATGAGAGCAGGCGGAGCAGGACCGCCCTGCTGGTCATGGAAGGAGGGCCCGAGAGGAAAGGCAGCTCTTCCCTGGAGAAAAAGACACTAAATTAGTCCCTGTCCCGAGTCCCCAGGTGGCGCAAATGGTGAAGCACTCGACTGCTAATCAAAAAATTGGCACTTTGAACCTACCCAGAGGTGCTTTGGAAAAAAGGCCTGGTGATCTGCTTCGGGAAGGTCACAGCCTTGAAAACTCTAAGGAGCAGTAGTACTCTGCATGCTTGGGGTCACCGTGAGTCAGAATTGACAGCAATTGGTTAAGTTTTTGTTTTCGTCCTTGCCTGGAATAACATCCTGAGATTTGGCCATGGGTTGGCAGGGATCCCCAGATCCGTTCTCTGCACAGGAACACTGAGGTGAATCCCACCCCCTGACCTCCTAGGCCCGTCCCCAGGCAGCCCCTCCATTTGATGTCAGCACAGAGGCAAACCAGGGCGGCCACAGAAATGAGCCCCTGGTGTCAGCTTCATGGGCGCGTGCTTAACACAGGGTCTCCCGACTCCCGAGGAGAACAACATGTCACAGAAGGCTGAGACAAACCACAGCTGGTCTTGGAGAAGACGATTCTGAGGGCAAGGTAATTGTGAAAAGCCTAACTGCTCAGATGTGAGGTGATTTTTGTTGCTGAAAGAGGTATGAGCAAAACCATCTGGTTACTGAAGGTGCTGGGTAAAGACATTCAGTAGGAAGGCTGGGTAATGGGGGAACTCAAAAAAATTAGTAATTTCAAATTCAAAGACTTCTGTACGTGTTGAGCAAAGAGGCCAGAAAGGAAAAGAAAAGCTGAGAGACGTGGACAGTGGACCGTTAAGGTCGTCTGCATCTCTGTGTCCCTGACGGGAGTTCCGGGAGGTTGGAACTCTGGTGGTCACACACCAGGAAAGCATTTCCTCAGTTAAAGGGGGCCTGAGGGCCGAACTGGGTGCTTCCTGGGAGAGCTGGACAATTCTTAGTTAAAAAAAAAACAAAACAGTCCCCTATGATGAGTTGAAAGGAATGTGGGGTAGAACAGCGTCGGACTGTTGTCTACACTGGATGCCGGACGGCGATAGAGCAGTGACAACAAAGCTGTGAGGAAAACGGATCTTTGAATCTGGAAATGATTCCCTACCGGTAGAAAATGAATCCAGAATTGGCAAGGGCAGGCTGACCATGTGTCCCGGGAGTCGTCAGGCTCTGGGTGGTGGCCCTGCAGGGCCGAGCACACTGCTGCCACCATCTGGGGGAGAAGCACTGGGCCCTGCCTGCTTCCAGCCCGCCCTCCGTGGCCTCGGCAGCCAGCCTCATGTCCTGCAGGGGTGTGAGGCCCTTTCCACGCGTCACCTTATCTCCTGAAGAGAGGACGGCAAGGGGCCTTTCTGGAGCCCTGGCCTCGGGAGGTGGGGCAAAGGGACAGGTGGGAGCCATGAACACTGGCCTGGGGGAGCACAGACAAAGGCTGTTGAAGATGGCCATCGTTTCTGACCTTTTCACCTGAGGCCTTTGTTTCTGGCAATTGATGGAATCTCCAGATGCTATGATGACATTGTGTTTTCCATGGATGTTTATAGTTTCAAAAAATGCTAATTTTGGTTTGTTTGTAAGTTGCCCGGCTATTGGCTGTAGATCTCAGTTATACTTAAATGTTTTCTTTTAAATCACCTATCGTTTCTAAAACTGAATGGTTCCCTTTTAAAGCACTTAGCATTTTGCCTTTTTCTCCCCTGACACACATGGGCAACACCCACGTGGGCAAGGCCTTGCCTTGCTTCTATGCTTCTGCCCCCAGGTTAGAGGAAGCACATTTTCTTTGTCCCTTTCTGAGCCGGGCACCTTCCTCTGTTCCCTCTGAGCTCCCTGCACGCCCCAGGGGCCAACAGGCATCGACCCTGGGCCAACAGTGGCAGCAGATGGCCGAAGGGGTCATGGGTGCACACTGCTCCAAAGTAGCTCCCAGCTTTGGTGCTGGCATGGCGGCACGGTGGAGGGGAGAGAACAAATGAGCTCCCGAAATCTGCAGAAATGTTTTGCTTTTAGAATTACATCTGGCCGTCTTTAGGGGTAGTGATGGTTTGGAATATGGCACAGAGGTAGAAAGATTCTCTCCAGGTCTGCTCTTCCAAAAGAAGAGGAGGCAGCCACATTAAGTAATACTCCCCCTACCCACAGAGCGAAAGGAAGACAGGCTCTGAGTACCCCTGGCTCCAGCTTTGGACGTTTGGTGCCCTGGAAAACCAGTGGACTGCAGGGCCCGCTTGCAACTGGCAGCCCTCCCAGGGCCCCATGGCAAGGGGCCACGCAAGCAAGGACAGGTGGGGGCAGTGTCGAGAGACAGCAGAGAGAGGCAGGAAGGTAGAGTGGCTGAATATAGGTTTTGAAATTCTTGCCGCATGGATTGGAATCCTGGACGAATAACTTGCTGGCTGAGTGACCCCGAGCAAGTTCATATCGTTGGTCTCAGTTGCCTCATCTGTAAAAGGGGATGAAATGCCCCCTCCCGTACAGGGCTGCTGCTGGATGAAATAAGAGCATGCTTGTGGAGCATTTAGAATTTGTCCTTGGCAAGTAGTTACGTACCCAGTAATCTGAACCTTATTAAGAAGGTAAACTCCGTGGGACGCGGTGTTGGAGGTTGAGGGGAGAGGGACAAGACAGTACCTTGGACGGCTGCTGCATGTCTGACGAGTCTCTGTTCCTCTTTCTGGGCCCGACTCATGGCACTTCCCCTGTAAAGTCCCTCGTCACCCAAGCTGCCGGGCCATCACGCGTGTGCAATCCTGCAGCATTCTGCACATCTCCCCGTGTGGGCATGCAGTGAGAGCTGGAGGCTCAGGGTCAGAAAACCTGGATGTCCACCCTCCACTCCACTGCCACTCGGGTAGAGAGGAGCCTTCCAGAGTATTGACGAAACAGAATCATGGCATGCCATGAAGTTTACACTGAAAATGGTTTCTAGTACCAAGAAATGCATTTTAAAAAATTTTCATCATGGGAGAAGCATGGGATTATAATGCAATTCTTAGTACACAACAGACGGCTGTCCAGAAATAAGATTCAAACCGGAACTTGTGTGATGGGCATCTTTAGTCAATCCTGCTGTTATGTTACCCAGTGGAAACCCCAGGCTCTGCTCGGCATGACTCGAATTGGCCGATAAATGAGAGACTGAGGTGAGAGAGCAGGAAACGCACCTTTGTTTTGTTGCGCAAAGAACGGAGTCAGGCAGCGCTGCTGCCACCAAGACAGCTCTCTGGGAGTGAGAGGAAAAGTACTTTTAAGGGGTTTACAAGTAGGGAGTTCATACGGGTTACGTCAGCAACATTCTTAATCATACTACGCAGATGCAGTGGGGTTTACATATAACTTCCAAGCAAAGAAAGCAGGATTTTATGCAAAGCTATGGGGGAGGAAGCCAGGCAAAGGAAACAGGATTTGGATGCAGAGCTGCTAAGGCTGTGCCTTAGTTAAGGAAGATCTGGGTGATAACCATGAATGGTAACATCGCTAGAAACAATTCCCACACCAAAAGATAATTGTAGCAAAATGTTTCAGAGCATACCGAAAACAGTAACACGGGTTAATTTTGACTAGAAATAGTAGGCTCTTGTATTATTTGATAATCCAGTTAATGAAGAGGTGCACAGCATATAAACACATTGTAAACATATTTAAATTTATCACTGATTTGACACAATATCGACGCATATGAAACTGTACTATGCGATCATGATGAGGACGCTAACGAGGACCTGGTTAGTGAGTGTCCTCATGGTTGTCGTGAGTCACCAGCAGCCGATTCCGACTCAAGGCGAGCCCACGTGTGTGGAGTAGAACTGTGCTCCATCGGGTATTCACGGCTGCAACCTTTCAGAAGTAGATTGCCACCCCTTTCTTCCGAGGCGCCTCTGGGTAGGTTTGAACCACCAACCTTACGGCTCGTAGTTGAGCGCTTAACTGTTTGCGCCACCCAGGGACGCCTTAACTGAAAGAGTATACTACTGATGATGCTGTTAGTCACAGCGTGAGAAAACATGAAATGTTGTAAAATCCTCAACTCCTGTGTGAAAAAAGAACCTGAAAAATGTTTCCCAAATTTAACAATTCTTAAACTTACATGACATTTCCCAAAATTAATTGTGAAAATGAATGGAACCCTAAGGAACAATTCTTGATCATTCTAGAGTAGAATTATTTTCATTTCATATCTATGGCAAGGTATTACAAAAGCATTGTCGTATGAAAAGGTAATAGAACCAAGTATGCG